GGATCAAGAGTCGATGCTTAGACTAGTTTAAGCTCGAAGTTCAGAATCTTCCTCCTTATATAAGTCATAAAAGGAGTAGAACTTATATTATTACTCAAAGGATAAAAACTTCGTTTATGTTTAATAAGTTAACATGCATCACAAAATAAAGAACTTATTGTCAAACTGAAATATAATTTCTCTAATACAAAAAAAGAAGGATGTCCCAATTGCCGGTGCATTGTAGTATTTTCAGATTGATTTCTGTGTTCCTAATAATGGCTTGACTCCCAATATTCTGACTTCTGTTCAAAACATATAAACCATCCTGCAGTATACCAGTGCCAATCCTCTTTCCTGTTCGAAAATCCTTAAAGATGCAATAATTAAGAAAAAATTCAATTTTACAGTTAAGATTTCTAGTGAGGGTATTAATAGATAAAAGATTATCAGGTAAATTAGCCATATGTAGAACTGGAGATAGTGTAATAGTCGTAGTACAATTAATGAAATCTGTTCCAGATACAGGAGTATATGACCCATCAGTTATATGAACATTTTTCCTTTTAATATAAGAAACATAGGTTAGGAAATCTTTAAAAAGGTTTGTCATATGTCAGTTGGCTCTAGAGTTTATAATCAAAACATCAAAATTGGAACTAGCAAGGATAGGAGAAATACCTGATTTTACCATATTTGATGCACCAATAGATGAAGAGTTGAGTTGAGATAGAATACGCTTCAGATTTTGAATCTCTTCGTTTGAAAATGTTGCAGCTATTTGTGTGTCAAGTGTTTTATTTGCCAACTTTGCTTTAGCTCTTGCAGGTCTACCTTTTCTTCCCCCACAACCTCTAGTTAGTCGGCCATATAGTTTCCATTAAGTTTTCTTAGTGTGTCTCAGCTTGCCACAATATTCATAATTCTGTTGGTATTTGGATTGGTCAAATTGAGCAACTAATCCAACTTTTTCAACTGGTGTTGCATGAATCATGACATTTCTTCTACTTTATTCTTACTAAATATAAGTTTGTTGTAATGAGGGAAAAAGATCCTTATCAAGCATCCGGATTCGTATTTGATCATATTTGGTGTTCAGACCTGCCAAGAAATCATAAATCCGTTCAATCTTTATCAGTTTATAAAATTTGATTGCATCTCCAATGCAATCTGTTTGAAAATCTTGATAATAGTTAGGTTCCTGCCATAGGACATTTAGTTCAGAAAAATATTGAAAAATAGTCATATTTTCTTATTTTATGCTATGAATCTTATTTCGGAGTTCAAAGATTTGGACATCATTACCTACTTATGAATATGTAAGAGATGTTGCATTCTATATTTTTGATGCGGTATTGAGTAATAAATGTGTTCGAGCAATATGAGTTTGAATGTAATTGATGAGCCACGACATCGTTAAGGAGTTTTCAGATTTCCATTTGTTACAATGCAAAATAGTAACATTTGGTTGCTTCATATCACCAGTTATGTAATTCTGCAATTCTCTAGTTTTGATAAATAACAAACAAGATCTTGACCAAGTAAGGTAATTAGTTCTATCAAACTTTACAAAACTGATTTGTAATGAGGGGTTATCTGAATTAGGAACAACTATTTTTTTTTACTTCTGTCATTTTTTTTAGAGTATCAGAAACAGAGAAAAAATAGCATCAAATAACTTATCTCACAAAGATAGAAGACACCTTCTAACCTGCACCAATGGAGGCAAAACTAGGCTGAAAAAGTGGCGTCTTTAAGGTCTTACTTTGACAGATCCGCAATAACCATAAGCCGGCAGTGCCATATCTGAAAAAGGGTGACAGGTGCGATGTCCAGTGACAGAGAAGGCCGGCAAAGGAGGCCGGTAGTGGAATGTGGTGGCAGTGATAGAGAAGACCGGAAGAGGAGGCTGGCAGTGGCAGAACCGGCAGCAAAAAACAGATTTGCGCGACCAGAGAAGGTTGGACGGTTCTGACGTGCAAGACACGGGTCCATGTGAGGGCTCTGCGCACAACGGAGTCCACAGACCTGTGCGACTCACTATGGCGACCCGAGACGGCCTTGTGTGGCGGTGAACGTGTCTGCATTCAGTAGCCACTCAAAAACAGAGTAAAAAACGGTGGAATGGCGGCCGGGGACGCGTGCAGCACGCTGAAACAGGCCATATCAGGGTGTCTGGCGGTGGTTTGACGGATCGAATGTGGTCTGACTCGGTAAACTGGACAGCACGTGTGTCTCACACACTGGAAGAGGGTCGTTGCTGGCGGTGCATGCGAGTCATGCGTTCGGAAATATGGTTACCGGAGCAGGGCGGAAGGCCGGCAGTTAGGCAGCAGCTCTGCTTGGGGTGGTAGATCTTGTTAGCCGAGTATTAACTTTTGTGCTATTTAGAGTTTGCAAAAAATCCTAAAATTAAAATCCTAAATTACCTTATTTGGGTATAATACCATGAAAATTTTTGGAGAAATAATATTTACTGTATTTCTAATACGCTTTATGTTGTTACAACTGCGGTATATATATAGAATTTTTATCTACAGATAAGGAAGTTGACATAGTAGTAGAGATTCTAATTGATTATATAATTATGGAAAAGATTATATAGGAAAAAATATCTTCAGACAACATAATATTCTAGTTAACACTTTCCAATTCAAGTCTTATGATAACTTATTGACGAACACAAAATTATTACATAATTTGGAAACATGTAACACATTTTCTAGGATTAGGGAGGGCTAAGCTTAATATTGTCGTTGCTTGCAATACTAGCAAGAAAACTATCTGCAGTGACAATTTTTTATATTATTTGGACAGAAAACATATGTATGGAAGTATTGGTCATATGGTCGATGATCCCTGAGTCTACAATTTAGGAATTTTCAAAGGGTTTATCTGAGTCATTCAAACCATGTAAAAATGAAAATGTACTTGAATGTTTTACTACACCTCTACCTATGGGTTTTTCAAGGTCCTCCAATTGATTTCACACTTGTTTAATCTCTACTTTAAGATAGTGAGATTAGTAGATGTTTCTTCTCCCTGTTGGTTGGCATATGAACTTGTTCGGGAATCTTCTGTGGGGTAGTTTTATATCCCAATTCTTTGCTGTAGGTATTTTATTTGCCATGTTATTTCAAACAATTTTCTTTTGTTGTTTATGAGTTTCTTGCAAAAGGTATGCCAAAAATTTTCGTATTATCTACTGCTGGAGATAAGTTCTTAATGTAATTCAATTCCTTTGTTTACTAGCGAGGTTTGGAATCTTGTGAGTTCAGGGTTGAACTATCAATGGGAGGGGTTCTAGCATGACCCCTTCTTTTGCTCTCTTTCGCAGATACTATAGGAGTTCCTTCATTGAGTGATGAAGTTTTCTCATTTCTAAGATTTAGACTCGTATTTGATAATATTCAAGATTTAATCATGTCAGAAATTAATCTGCACGGTCTTTTAATACAAACTTCTTGAGGTAGGCCACATATCTACTACAATTCATGGTAAGACTGTTGTACTGGTACGGTTCTTGCCATTAACTTTTTGATATGTTAGAATATTCATTGACTTACCTATTTTTTTGCTTGGTAGATCATGCCTTTACAGTCAACTTATAAATCTGTGCAACGTACTTGACTTTAGAGTGGGTTTCACCAATGGCATCCCACACTTATGATATTCTTGTTTTCCATCAATAAGTTTTTGAATTTTCTAAATTTATGATCTTATCATAATGGGAGAAAAGGTATCTTCTTCACTAGGCAATCCATGAGTCAAAATGTTACTAGTCATATCCAAACTGCTGAAGGAGTTTGAAAACTTCATGCAATTATTTTAGCTGAAAATGCTGCTATGATTGGTTGGCTCCAACTCAACCTTGCGTTGACAAAATTTGCCTATTTATATAGCCTGAACCAATAATTGGTCTGATTAGTGCTTCAACAAATGTCACTAGACCTTTTAACTTATCTGATATTTTCTGTAATATATTAACTTGAAACTGTTATTGAGATAAAGCTCAAGTTTTGGGAAATGTTCCCACATGTTTATGATTATGTTGGAAAAATATATTTTTTCCTGCTACATGCCATTTTCATCTTGTAATTGTGATTTTTTCTGCTCCTCTTTCTGACATTATTTGTTGTCTGTTCGTTGCATATTATTTCTCCTGCAGCAATTGCTGATAGCTTCTAGAAATCTAGAGTTCTTTACAAATGGATATCGCTACCTCATTCAGATTCTTCCAGCTGCTGTTGTTGCTCCCATGTACTTCTCAGGGAAAATAGAGTTTGGTGTAATTAATCAGTCTGTATCTGCTTTTAATCATATTCTCGGAGACATCTCACTCATTGTCTACCAGTTTCAAGCTATCAGTGCATTTTCAGCGGTCATTGATCGACTAGGTATGTTTCTCATGTTGCTTGTTTATGCTTTCCATTATGATCAAACTGATGGAATCGAAACATACTGAAAGCGGACATGTTTTATTATCATGAGATATTCATGCAATTATATTATAATATTTTATTATTATTAAGGATATTGAGCTTCTTTAGGAACTGTGATAAAATAGAACATTATGGTTATCATTGAAAAATATGGCCTTTATATATAAAGCTTTAGAAGCAAGAAAATGAAACTCTAGTGACTAATTACATCAGCCTATTCTTAAGAATATTCATTTTTACACTATGAAAACAAATAATTACAAATTTTACACTTTCCAACACTCTCCTCAAGCTGGTGAATAGACATTGTTCATTTCTAACTTGTTAATGATTGTTTGAAATACTAGATTGCTCACTTCCTTAGTAAATGCATCTGCAAGTTGAGAATTGGTTGTGTGTAGTGTATGCAGATCAAGCCACTTGTTGGAAAGTATTATGATGCATAGATACTTGTTTCCTTTTATATGTATACTATTAGTCTCCTAAACAAAGGTATAATTAAATTAGAGTTCCTAAAGTGTATTGAAATTAGGATTTATTATTAGATTAGGATTTCTTTTCTTTTGTTCCTAAAGTTGTAAAAGACAGACATTATTATTTAATAAAATCTAACATTCTATTTTTCCACAGGGTATAGAGTTATAGGAAAAATATCCTCTCTTTTTTCCACAAACCTTAAACTGGGCTTTATTAATGGAACAAAAAGAAAGAACCCTAAACAAATATGCGACCTTCATAGCTGAGGCTTCCTTAGCAGGAAAACACCCACACTTGGAGAAGTAAAAAGTAGTGATGTGAACCAAGGCCAAGAGGGACATTTCCTGGACGCTCGTGAGCAAGCGTGTGAGTTCACCTGCCCAGCATGCACGGAAGGTGATGCCCGCGTGCACGAAGACAGCACACATGGACACAGTGCGCACGAAGATAGTATGCACGGACACCGCACGCACGGAGTTCCCGTAAAAGAAGACTCCGGTGCTCGCGGGAGCGTGCTATCCCGCGGGAAGGCAAAATCCTATTCCTGCAAGGATTCCCACTAACAAGATTCCAAGTTGCACATGGAGATTGGCCCAAGAAAGCTTTCTACACCAGCCTAACTTCAATGTTAGAATATTATAGAATAATCCACGTATATAAAAATATGATTATCCTTCCAAATATGTCAACATAATTAATAGGGTGTTTTATGTTGGTTACCATATTTGAATCCATTTACATGTATATATATCTATATTCTCATTTTAATAAAAGATATATAAATATTCAATATTTTTTTTTCCCTATCCCTTTACATGGTATTAGAGTTAGGGTTCGGGTTAGGGTTTTAGGGGTCAGACTAAATACACATTGAACAACCCATTCCCGGCGCTAGAGGAAGTCGACTACCATCTTGCGACTAGTTCAGATCACAACTGGTATGATGGTGCACACAGAAGAGGAGGAAGCTTTCTCTCTCAGTTTTGGGTCTGTAAACGTCGAGTGAAGTCGTGTTCGGCCATTTCGCATGCGTGTCGTGTTCAGCCCGAAGTCAGAATCTGAAGAGAAGCTTGGCCGGCCTGGTCTGAGCAAGAAACTAGAAGACCAGAGCGGAGAAAGCAGCAATGGAATAGATTGCGCGACAACAAGCTCTTTCCGGTTTTCCGACGCGATTTGAGGAGATTTTATAAACACCATTCTGGATTGAAGCGTGCATTTGGGTTCTGTGGTGATTTTCGGTTGAAAAGAGGTATTTTGGTGATTTCCAGCGGTGGCGTGTAAACTCTGGTGGCGGTGCGTGGACGCCGGTGGTTGGCAATGAGGTCTTGGTAGGATTGTTGACAACTGTGCTTGAAGAGGTACTCTGTTTTTTCATATTTTTTGGTATATTTGCAGTGGTTTTTGGGTATTCTTGACTATTGTGTTTTGGGTATTTTGAGTGACATTTTTTTATAATTTCCGAATTGAAATTGATGATAATTTTGTCTGCTATTATTGCTGTGAGTAAGGGCATATAAAGCGGTATTGTAAGAAATTACAGAATCTTAATTGGAGTACATAGACCACTAATATTGTTGGTGCTATTATTAGTTCATCTTCTGAGAGAATTATTATGATTTCAGTTGACGAGTATGCTAAATTTATTCAGTATTAGGAATCCTTAAATAAATTTTCTATTCTTATTGAATCAGAAAAAAAGTGACTTATCTTCTCATCGAACAGATAGGTGATTGATTTTGGTGCTATAGATCATCACATGATAGGTAATTATAAATTTTTTTCTAATTTTTGACTACACAAAGCACATTTTCCTATAACTATTACTGATGCGTCGACTTAGAACATTGTAGGATCGGGGACCACAAAACCAATATCATCTATTACCCTGTCATCTGTGCTAAGTCTATCTAACTTGCCTTTAATCTAATTTTTGTGAGTAAATTTACTAAAAATTTGAATTGTTGTATTACATTTTTTTCTAATCATTGTGTTCTTCAAGATTTTATGACGAAATAGATTATTGGTAAAAGAAATATATCAGATGGTTTCTATATTTTTAATACTTGGGTACCTCGATCGGTTATCTGCTCTAGTGTTATCTCTCCATTTGAAGCACATTGTCAATTCGGATATCCTTCTCTACCTATATTAAAAAAGTTATGTTCTCAGTTTCATGATGTACCATCGCTGGATTGTGAGTCATGTTGATTTGCAAAACATCACCGAAGTTTTTTAGGTCTAAGGGTCAATAGACGAGCTAAATTTGTTTGTGACTTAGTTCACTATGATGTTTGGGGCCCATGTCACAAAATTGGGTTTAACTATTTTGTTACTTTTGTTGATGATTTTTCTCGAATGATTTTGATATATTTTACGAAGAATCATTCTGAAGTATTTTATCACTTTTGTACTTTTTGTGTTGAAATCAACACACAATTCAATATTTCTGTGCATGTATCGAGAAGTGATACTATATGACTCAACACGGGATCCTTCACCAATTCTCGTGTGTGGATACACCATTTCAAAATGGAGTCGCTGAGAGAAATAGCATTTACTTTAGACAACTCGAGTCCTCTTGTTCCAAACGCAAGTTCCTAAGTAGTTATGGGCTGATGCTGTTTCCACGACATGTTTTTTAATTAATTGTATGGCATCTACAGTACTTGATGGAGATGCTCCTTACACTTTTCTTTTTCCAAACAAGTCTTTATTTTCGGTGTAATCTAAAATATTTGGTAACACTTGTTATGTTCGAGATGTGCGATTTACTATAACAAAATTGGACTCATAGGTCTTGAAATATGTATTTTTGGGATATTCTCACTTTCAGAAAGAATACCGGTGTTACTTTTCAGATCTCAATAAATATTTAGTATCAACTGATATGGTTTTTTTAGAGAATACACTGTTCTTGTTCTCATTGTCTAAATCTACAAGTCAGGAGACGGACATGAGTGGCTCAGCTATAGTTTCACACTAGGTGTCTCTAATGAGCAAATAGATAATGGTACTTCTCTAGATGATGTATCTCCATCCCTACTTGAGCAAGTTGATGATAGTGTTAGTGTGCTTCTGACCCAAGTACCACCACCAATTGTTAATGTTTATTGCAGAAAACAATAGACTAATGATACATGTCCTACACCAAGTTCGTCGTCATCTAATTTTGCCTTACGAGATCTTGATCTTCCCATTGGTTTTCGTAAAAGTAAACGTTAGTGCACCATTTCTACGTCAACTTATCCCATTGCTAATTTTATCTCATATGACCGTCTGTCTCCTTCGTCTAGTGTTTTAATTGCTTCTATACATTCAACTTCTATAATCTATACAGAAGAAAAGTTTGAATCAACCTGGTTGGCGTAATGCGATGCTTGAGGAGATAAATACTCTTGATAATAATCATACATCGGATCTGATATATTTACCCAAAGAAAAAAAGGCTGTATGATGCAAATGGGTATTTGCAGTTAAAGCGAATTTATATAGCTCTGTGACATGACTTAAAGCTCGACTGATAGCGAAATGTTATGGTCAGATTTATGGGGTGGACTATTTTTGATACATTCTCTACAGTGGCCAAACTTACCTTTGTTCGTTTATTCATATTTATTGTAACTTCGCGAGATTGACCCTTACACCAGCTAAACATTAAAAATGCATTTCTTCATGGTGATTTCGTATAAGAAGTGCATATGGGGCAACTACCTGTGTTTGTTGCTCAAGGAGAGTACGGAAAATTCTGTCATTTAAAGAAATTTTTGTGTGGTCTGAAACAGATCCCCGTGCGTGGTTTGATAAGTTTAGTGAGGTACTCTGTGAGTTTGGATTGAAGAAGAGCAAGTGTGATCATTCAGTTTTTTATAAACAATCAACAGCTGATATTATATTTTTTATTATTTATGTTGATGATATTGTGATTACAGGAAATGACCATGTAGGAATATCCTCTCTCAAGTCATTTTTTGCATACCAAGTTTGATATGAAAGTCTTGGAACAACTAAAATACTTCTTGGGGTGGAAATAACAAGAAATAAGGAAGAGATTCTGTTATCTCAGAGAAAATATGTAGTTGATCTATTGGTAAAAACAGGAAAGCTGGGAGCTAATCCATGTAATACACTAATGGTACCAAATATATATCTTACAAAAGATGGTGATTCCTTTGATGATCCAGAAAAATACAGGCGACTAGTTAGAAAATTGAATTATCTCATTGTGCCTCGTTCAGATATTGCATACCCTGTTAGTGTTATTAATCAGTTTATGTTTGCACCTACAGTCAAACATTGGGAGGTTTTAGAACAGATTTTGTGCTGCTTAAAAAGTACTCTCGGACTTGGTATAGTGTTTAGAAATCATGGACATACTCACATTGAATATTTTACAGATGTTGATTGGGTTGGATTTAAAATTGATACGAAGTCTACTATGTACTATTGTGTTTTTATTGGTAGGAATCTCGTATAATGGA